GATATTGGGCTTAGCTTCTTGAATGCTTATATAATCATCTTAACAACCTGAGAGCTGGGCACTCTTATCCTTAGGTTATAGTTGAGGAAAGAAAGAAGTTCAATGAGTTTAAGAAATTTGCTTAAATCCCAAGACTGGTAAGTTTTCTTATTTCTCTGAATTAGGAAAATAATTCTGAATTCTAATTAGAATGGTTGAAGCACAGAACATAATGTTGAAACACTAGCACATGGAATCCACAATCTATTAAAAGTAAAGCAAAATCAAGATAATTATTCAAATAATGATCAATTAAAAATTATTTTTAAAACCCAGATACCACTCTTAATTAAACACAAGTGATACCCAAGCATGGAGGGTGGACATATTCATAGATGAGGCACCAGGTTTTGCTTTTTACAGTACCATAACAAACCCCTAAGCCCTTTTATTTTTCTTATAAAAAAAAACCTTCACTGAGCAACTGTAATGTGTTATGCACTGTCAGGCTTTTTCCAGATGTTGTCTCATTTCATTTTCACAGTGAGCCTGTGAAGTCAAGATTGTTATCCCCGTAATATTGATGAAAGACTAAAGCTTGGAGAAGATGAATAACTTGACCAAGGTCATATGAATGGTAAAGGGTAGAGCCCTCCTAAACCCTTTTTGAAAGTCTTTTCTTGGTTTTGCATTTTTAAAGATTGTAAGAACACTGCAATATGTTGGCCAGTATTGCCAGAAAAATCCAGTTTACTCTTCTTTCTGTATGTGTTAGGAAAAAAATTATTGGAATTATTTTATTTTTTAAAACACTCATCCATTACTGTATGTTTAAAAAACATAATTTAAGCTCCCAATTATTTATTCTCCTGAGAGAGCTAAACACTTGTGACCATAAAATCTCCTACATTAAATACTTTTAACTTCAATGAACTGTTTTACTTAGAAAAAACAAGAAAAACAGTAACTCCAGCCTCATCCTCTCTTTTAAAACTACTTTTAGTTACACCAAAAAGTAATCCACTGGCTTTTTGGTTCTCTGTGGCTCTAACGTATGGGTGTTTGCCAGATTCTCTTCTTTGGTTTCTTTGTCTCAGGTAAACAACATACTGTCTTCCGTGGATTTGCAACGGAAGTGGGGTGGGAAGTTAGAATCACTTCAAAGAGTGCCTCCTTGCTAAGTTAACTGCCAGGTATTTACACTCTGGCACCCAGCTCCCTTCAGCCCTGGAGGAAGGGCTCCACCAGCTTTTTTGGTCCCTCTTAGCAGGGCCGTGCACCCAGGCCTTCACTCTGCATCTGTTGAACAGAGCTGCTGTTAGTTTCTTTCTCATTTTAAATCTTCTGTATTCTGTAAGTGACCTACAAAT